TTCTTAATATGAAATTCGAATGGTATGACAATTAGAGATTAGACTGTACAGAAACTGAAATCACACGCTAATACACACTATACTCATAGTCACGCAATGCTGTTGTTAACATTAATAATTTGAGAACAAAGTATAACAATAATAATAATTTGCACGGGTTGATGTGATATGAGCTAACCAATCGATTCACTTAATCACCATTGGTAGCAGGATTTATTGTAATCCTTTTTTCCTCAGTTGGTCAGAACAAACGTGGCAGACTTGTTACTTACTTGTTCAGATGACAGTATATGGTGAAAATTCTTATTTGGGTCATATATTCCAAGACGTAGGCTAGAATCTGTGATTGCGAAGTACAGTAAATATCCACACCAGTGCCATACACCGTGACTGACTGCCACACATTCACTTCAAAACATTAGATTTATCGGAGCTGGAGCACAACCCCACGCATGGAATATAATTCCGCACACAGCTGCAATGCCAGGGTTTCAAACAGAGATGGCAACAAAGAGGCAAAACTTACGGACTGCAGCTTTAAGCAAAATATAATTTATTACTGACAGCAATGCATGATTAACACATACATACTGTTTTAACCATTTAAATCATGCAGGGGTGTCCACAATCGAAACGAGGAAACGAGGGGATTGAATATCTCTCTGGATCAGTTTCAGTTCAAGGGCAAAGAGAGAAACGAAGAGAGGAGAGAAAGAGAGACAAACAGATGGGTGTCAGGTTGTTTTGTGAAAGCTTGTACCAGGACAGGAAGTTGCTCTCGTTTGAAGAAGCAACTGGCTTCATTTAACAAAGACAGACTTACAGTAGTCAACAGGAAATCAAAATTCACCCTGTTTACTTACAATGAACTATTTATTCATTTATCTTAATCTTGCAGAGCATAACACTTAAGTTAGGGCATTATTTTTTTTTCACTGTATAATAATAATCTATAATCAGTGTTTTCCACCATTTATACTCATTAGGCAAAGCAGCGGTTTGTCGGAAGGTGAAGAATGATGGGTAATCAATACATGCCTTCAATGTATTTTACTGTTTAACAACATTGTTCAGCTGACAAAACTTCTTTCAGAAAAACTTTCGGTAGACAAAAACTCCAAAAAACAGTTTTGAAAATTGTGGGTAGCCAAGTAAAAATAATACAGTCCCTTATATATTGTGCGTTGGTACGTCTGACCCTCGCAGCTTCGTTTTATCTGCGTTAAATTCAATGTTGTCTAACCTGATTAAAGGGTTAGTTCACCCAAAAATTATAATTCTGTCATTAATTACTCACCCTCGTGTCAATTATTGCATTTTGGACATTCATTTACATGACAATGGCATTTTGGGGGCCTGAAAACATAAACTTTTGAAGTCAGGTTTCAAAGTGCACGTTTTTGAAAACAATTTCATTTTGACAACGTCATCATCTGTACGCAAAACTTTTCACACGTTTTAGTATCGTTGTGGTGTAAACGTATCCTAAAACTATTTATATATGTATAGTTATCGTTATGGTTATTGTGCTTGGTGTGAATGGACCTTAAGCGGCAAATCAGAATGTCAAATCACAAATTTACAAGAAATGAGCCCCCCAAAATCATTTAGGCTGAGATGTGAACTGTTTGATGGGTCAGTGTATGTACAGTTAGTAGCCGACCTCTGTGCGACCCTCGGCCGAACCACACCAAAGACAGGCCTGTGAGTGATTACGCAATTTCACACACACATATTTACACATTCAATCAGCTCCTCTAATCAGGATCTAACCACAAAAAAGGCCAACCAGGGGTCGTTAGGTACCTTTTCTGATGACATCATCAGGCTGTCGTGGGTAACCGGAGCTGGACCGGATCTGGCGGCGCAGTACAGGGCCGTATATCACGGAGTTTCCCAATAACCGACTGCTCGGAGAACAGCCATTTGTCAAATGAAAGGCCTAGCAGTGCAGACTGTGTGTGTGTGTGTGTACACATACCCAGCCCGAGCTCAGATATAAACACAAGTAATCTGTTGAGGTAGCTTTAGCAGTGACAGGGCAGTCAATCAGGCCTCCGTCTACATGTCAGCCTGACAGCTTAACAGTTCATGGGAGATTTATTAGCCACGGGTCAGATCAAATAATATATCCCCAGTCTGCTCTTGTTTAGAATGACTTAGCTCTATTGATTAGACTCACCCGTGAGGCCCCTTCTGACATGGGCAGAGCTCACAGGAAACTCAGCTAAATTGCCAAACCACAATATATCATGCTTTGATAATTCAATGAGATGGTCTTCATTTATCATACGGGTGAATGGCTAGGGATTCTGGAAACATATCTTAAAGGAATAGTTCAGCAAAAAAATGTAAATTCTGTCATGACTTTTACTCTCATGTCATTCCAAAATTGGTATGAGAACACATACAGCTCTTTTACATCCAAAAACAGTTCATCAAACATCAATCAATGTCCAAAAAGGACCAAAAACACCACAACAGCACTTACAAAAGTGGTCCACTTTTTACATTCAAATTATTTTTGCTGTTCAAAAATGAAAATAAACATGAAAAGAAAAAAAGAACATATGAGTTTGGAATGACATGAGGGAGAATAAAAAAAAAAAAAAATAAAAAGAATAAATTAGATTTAAATGAACAAACAAATAAACAATAGTATTAGATAAAAATGAATAAATTTATAAATGTAACAGTACAGTATTGAAGTGAGTAGAAAAAAAACTGAATAGACTTAATAGAAACTAAATATCAAAAAGGACCAAAAAACACAAAGCTGCACATTTTTATACTAATTTTTTTTTTTTTTTTTTTTTTTTTTTTTTGAGATAAAAACAGTTTAAAAAGTGTAAAAATAAATAAATCAAAATTAAGAATAAAATAAATAAATAATTTAAAAATAAATAAACCAAATAATAAAAACTTTAATAAATCAGTATAGTACTATACACTACAGTACTAATATACAGTATAGTACTGTTTAATAACAGTATAGTACTATAATGAGTAGAAAAAACAACTTAATGGAAATTAATGGAAACTAAACATTTTCTGAATAGTATATTAAATTGGTATAGTATATAGTATAGCAATTAAATTAGTATAAATTGGGTCTTTATGCATAAAACAAATATATAGCTTCCTTTTACATAGGATGGGGGTCCCTTGCAAAAAGTTTAAGCTATTTAGGGGTCTGTGGCATCTAAAAGATTGAAAAACCCTTTCTTTATGGTGCAAGGCAAAAAATTATACCAGTTTGAACAGTAATTTGTTTAATGTTAAGGTTACTGATTAATGAACCGTCAAACTTTCTGTTAACAAAAGAGCTTGGTATGACATCAAACGGATGTACATTTCCACTTAACCTCTGAGAGGTTGATCACATGCGCCTTTAAATTGATGTCCAGCTCCTGCAGCTATTTCCTGTGTTACGTTACCCTGAAATAACACTGCAGCTTTGCAGTCTACAAGCAAAGCATTGCAAGAAACCAAAAAATAAACATATAAATACATAACTGAGTGGACACATGCTGACATTTATACAATGTAATCACTCCATAAGTACAGATCTGACAAGCTGAGATCACTATCAAGCATCATTTGGACACAGCTCATTTCAGAAAAGCGCACACACATAATGTGCTCTGATTGCATAACTTGACGATACTTGGACGTTTTGATGTACTGCACACATTCACACCCCAAAAATCATTATGTAATTTCATCTTATATAATGTAACTATCTTATGTAATGTAACTACGAACATATGTTTTTAAAAAATAAAACATAACTGCTTCAAAATTGGTGTTTTCAGTATAGTATGTGTAGTTTATATTGCAGAGCAAATCGTCCAATTATATTTACCACAGATCTTACTTTACCCATAAATTTAGAGTTGCCTACTGTATAAAGTATTGCACTACTATTGTAGTAAAGTAGTGAATATTTCGGTGAAATATGATGGGCAAAAAAGGTCAATAGTGTGGTGATGTATTAAGCACAGTTTATACACAATGTTGCCTCCTGCTTTCAATGGAAAGTAACTAAAGCTTGCTCGCTAAATGTTGCTATTACGTCATACCGGTGAGTCTCGAAAACTATAAAGTTTGTCCAAGAAGTCACTAGTGATTTTTTTTGGAAAGACGTTGATAAAGGGGCATCTAAGTTGCTAAATCTATTAACAAAATTGCTAAATTGGCAACACTGCTCACACAGAAATCACTTTCAAACCAAGCATTTTTCTGTTGGTCAAGGCGGAGAATTTGTCTGAACCTGTTGCGAAATCTGCTTAAAGAAACATTTTGCCCAGATCACAGGAATTCCTATGGAAATGGCTTGAATTCGTCCACAGAAATTCGCTGAACAACAATAAACGTGACCTCGCATTTTGACTAAGGAACTACAATAGCCTACTTGGCAGAAGATTTATTTATTCCTATTATCATGACTTATTTCATTGATGTTGTTGCATTGTGCCTAATAAAATTTATACATGTACATTTTAAAATTACTGCACAATTCACTTGAAACAACCGCTCTGCATTCGCTAAATGTGACTTATTATCATCATGTAATTAACTGTTAGTCTTATTTTTCAGCTATTTAATTCTGTAATTATATAGCTATATTGTCATTATTTGTTGTTAAAGGGGTCCTATTATGCTTTTTCACTTTTCTGTAGTCTGTAATGAGTCTGTAATGTTGCTGTTTGAGCATAAAAAAGTTCTGCAAACTTACAAAGCTCAAAGTCCAATTCAAAAGGAGATATTTTATTTAACCAAGGCGGACCTTCATTTGATACAGGAACTATTGGAGCCATTCATGCCAGACTGGGGAGAGAGGTGTTGTAATAATGTAAAATATGTGAAAAATAATGTGTTTTTCGAACAACCTAGTATGAGAGCTTGTTCTAGTACACCCCCAAAACAAAATCAAGACTTTGTAAAAGAGCATAATAGGACCCCTTTAAGAGAAGTGTAGATCGCATGCGTCGCTCTTTGCGTAGCAGCTACGCACATCCGACGTCCTCGAGCACGTTTCCGCAATGAATCCTGGGAGGAACTGCGTATTTGGCGGAATGTTTGAACAATTTATACAAATCCAGGTCACGATGGCAGCGAAAAGCACAAATAATATAACACCAACTCGGTGATATATTAACTACAGGCATTCTGAATAACTCAACAACATGGAGGGCAGAGGCAGTCAGGAACAACACGAGCGAAATGAAATCGCCAAACTGACGCAGATGAAGTCGAAAGTAAACAGACTGAGACGCAGCCCTAAAGCAGCGACGCTGAACCCCGGACAGATCCGCAACACAGGTAACCGATCACCCAAACAAATGTGCCCCTGGCTTCTCTGTCGTATCTGACTCAGTCATGACCAATTTGAAAGCTCCAACTTATTGTTTGAACGTTGTGTTGCTTTTATGTAAAGTATTTAGTTTAGTAAATACAATGTGTTTACATTTAAGAAAGTTAAGAACATTTTAATAAAATGAGACCCTGGACCACAAAACCAGTCATAAGGGTAAATTTTTTTAATTTGATGTATACATCATCTGAAAACGGAATAAATAAGCTTTCCATTAATGTATGGTTTGTTATGATAGGACAATATTTGGCTGAGATACAACTATTTGAAAATCTGGAATCTGAGGGTGCAAAAAAAATCTAAATATTGAGAAAATCACCTTTAAAGTTGTCCAAATGAAGTTCTTAGCAATGCATATTACTAATCAAAAATTAAGTTTTGATATATTTACGGTAGGGAATTTACAAAATATCTTCATGGAACATGATCTTTACTTAATATCCTAATGATTTTTGGCATAAAAGAAAAATTGATCATTTTAACCGATACACTGTATTGTTGGCAATTGCTACAAATATACCCCAGCGACTTATGACTGGTTTTGTGCTCCAGGGTCACAAATAGGTGTGCAAACTTTAAGAAAAATGCTCTGGCCAGTCTCAGGCTTGACCTCAATTTGATAATTTACATTATTGTGATTAAGCCATCTTTTGACATTTTATTAAATATCATGAAAAAGGCAAGAATAGCATAATAGGAAAGTCCCACATGTAAAAGTACTATGAAGTTTTTTGTTTCTGCATTAAGTAATGTGCATCGCAGAACCGTCAGATGCAGCCACGTTTCTGTATTAAAGCAGGTGTTTTTGAACTGCATGTGATTTACAGCAGAGTTCAAAACCCCTACACGTCCAGCGAGAGGCCAGTTCAGGAGACTGATACCTGACGACTCGCCCAGCAATGATCCGGATTTTCATCAAGATATTATATGGGACACGACATCTCCATCACCCATTCGACATGGTATGCATGTCTATTAGACTTGTGCATTTTGAAATTCTTCTTTAAATGTGCAGTATCTAAGTATGACAGAAGTGTATTTATTTTCAGGTCGTGGACAGAGGAGAGCTGCAAATGTCAGAGCAGTGGATATATCGGACATTGCCAATCGGATCGCACCAAAGGTTTGCTCGAGGAACATAAACTACCGCAATGCTAGTGTTTTCAGTTCAAAATGAGTTGAGTGTTCATGTCAAATGCTGTATTGTGATGTATCTGTTTGTTTATAGAATGGAAGACTAGAAGAAGCGGATTCATCTTTACTGCAGTGGATTGGGGACAGTGCCATTCCCTGCACACCAGAAGTACAGCAACCCAAAGTCAAGCCCATGTCGACAAAGTAAAGGAATCTTTAGACAGCTCACGATTCGATCAGATTCCAATTCTACTTTAAAAAAAAAATTAAAATTACTTTTAATTCTTTAAATATTTAATTTATGTTATTTGATATTTCATTACTTAATTATAAGCACCTATGTAATCACAAATTAGTAAATGAATGAAACAATTGCAAAATAATGAGGTATTTTTAAATGATCTAAATATAGTGTACAAAGCGTGTAAGTACATAGACAGTAATAAGGAACAAAGATATACATAACAAGCAATGCATTTTCACACTTGTGTATCTAAGAGTGCTTTAAGTATCGAAAAGTTTCCAGACAAGAATATTGAGTACATTTTCTCGGCATTATTGCGGTTTGATTATTATAGATCACATCATAGACAGTGGGAGATCTAATAGGCTGCATTCACATCGCACATATGCAGTAAAACTAAACTCATTCAATTGATTTTTCTTTTTATCAGAAAATTTATTAATTTAACTTCTACATGGACCATCTGTCCATATGTATAGGCATGAATAATTTTATATCACAGTAACTCTGTAATTTAGTTAATCTTGCTCTAAATTCAATTGAAAAAAATGGTTATATATTAAATAGTTATGTGTTAATGCTTTTGCATTATCTATTGAGTAAATATTTATAAATTCAACATACTCTTTAAGTCGTATTCAAATAATTATCTTTTTATTATTTACTCTTTATTTGAAACTTGTTTGATCCAAAAGGTCTAATTATTTGTAATAAATTATTGATAAATCTGGCATCATTGCGCTGCACAAACAGCTTTGCATTAATACATTAAATACTATATTAATGCAGAAAGGTGCAAAGTTGTTTGTTTATACATCAACTACGGATTAACGCTAGATGGTGTCGAAAAATAGGTATAAATGATATCGGAAAATGTATATCATCATGTGTATGTATTTAGTCTCTGTACTGATCTAACGTCTGCTGATGTGTATGTTGCAGACAGAGCACTGTGGAAGATCTAATGCGGCTGGCGAAGCAGTTTGACTTCAACATGAGGCAAGATGAAGCTCAAGAACAGAACTCAGATGCACCAGTTTCAAAACAACCTGAGGAACAAGAGCTGCCACATGACGACCGGTTCACAACAGCCCACAGCGGCTCTGATCTAAAACCCAATGACGAGAAGCCTGTTGATGAAAGGGGACTTTATCAGGAGATGGACGATGATCTTGATTTCCTTTTTGATGGGCCGACTCAGCGGCTCAGCGGGCGTCTTAGTCAGGCGTCAGATTATCGTACTCGGGAAGCTCCTGAGAGATATCTCAGCATTGTGAAAACCAGCGTTTCACAAAAAGGTTCTGTGCTTATTACATCAGAAAACCATGGCAGTAAACAAGTTAACCAGGCTGATGTTTTTGATGATGACTGGAACAGTGACGGTTTACTCGATGACTCGTTGCTTTTGGAGATGACGCAAAACCCAGATCTGTTTGCTGCACCGCAGTACAGTTCAACACAAAGACAAACTCACGGGAATCAAAATGCTTTCAGTGCAATGACAAACCAAAAACAAGAAGCTAAAACTGATGTTAAATGTGGCACATTTCAAGGGCAACAGACAAAAAGTGAGCAAAGTTTTCAGCAGGACTCTCGAATACAGGCAAAGCCAAGAATTGGAAATCGCATGGAAAATAATTGCACAAATCAGGGTTTTCCCACGAGTAAAGCTTTGCCAGTTCCTCCAAGTTGCTTCAATGGCAAACAGAATCAGCGCAAGACGCAAGTAGGACAGCTTCAGGCTATTCAAAATTCATCCGAGCTCAATGCTGTTTCCTCAACGCACCATTTCCAGCCAGACACCAAAGAGATGCTGCCGTCCACCAGCCTCAGTACTATAAAACCTCCTCATTCCAATCCTCCCAGCATGCACCAGAATCCAAACTCTGGAGGCATTAAACAACCAGGAGAGAATGCCGTTACAGCCAAAGATGGCTTTAGTGGTGTTTTAGATGAAGACCTGGACTCTTTTTTTGCGTCTGATGACATCTGGGATGACGGAGTGGAGGACGATGATCTGTTTTGTGAGGCGTGTGATAATCTTGAGGAGTTCTCTGGCAATGCTGAAACCCCAGCCACAAACAACCAACAAAACACCGCAAAAGCACTACAAAACAAGCCGTACGGCACCTCCGAAACGGCCTGTCAGCAAACAGTGTTTGCTCATCCTTATCCACCCAAAAAGTCGGCTGATAATGTTTCCACGTCCAGTGCAAACACATCAGTGTCTCTGTACGGCCAGAAAGCTCATGCGGGGAACTCTGGGCCTGCAGGACTCGGCTCTAATGTGTCGTGTGATGCAACGAGACCATCTGGCCCCTCAAGTAATGGACCGTATAAATTCAAACAGGTGAGAAGCTCGTCTGTGGTGGGACGGGGGACCTGTGCTGTTCCCCCCACACAGCAGGGTCACGAGAGGGGCGTGCTGGCCGTCCTCCAATCAGATGTGAGAACAGCAGACAGTCATCAGTTCAGAAAGCCGTGCAGTGACTCGTTCAGGTCTGCGCCGGTCATTGCCAAAGGTACAGTTAATGTCACATGCTCTTTGCTTTATTACTGTGGTGTGCAAGTGTTATGTAGGTGTATTTTAACTTTATTTTTGATCAAATTAGTTAATAATTTAATTTTATTAGTTTATATTACTATATTAATAATTATATTTAAAAAGTCTAAGTAAAATGCTGTAAAAAATCTAAAAATAATCAAAGATATTTTCCACATAGTTTTTCACTAAATTAGCAAAATGAAGAATATTTGATCATTTTCAGTTACATGCAACCATATAATCAATAGTAATTAACAATATTTTGCATAGTCACTTAATTGAACATAGGCAAAATAATCATAGTGAACATATCAAGTATAATATACACTACCATTGAGAAGTTTGGGGTCAGTTAATTTTTTTTATGTTTTGTAAAGACGTCTTTTATGCTCACCAAGGCATATTTGATGCCAAAAACAGTAATATTGTGGAATATTATTACAATTTAAAATAACTGAGTATATTTTAAAATGTAATTTATTGCTGTGATCAAAGCTGAATTTGCAGCATCATTTCTCCAGTCTTCAGTGTCACATGATCCTTCAGAAATCATTCTAATATACTGATTTGATGCTCAAAAATAGAAATAGAAATTTTTCTGTAACATTATAAACGTCTTTACTATGACTTTAGACCAATTTATTGCCTCCTTGCTAAATAAAAGTATTCAATTGTTTTTTTCTTTAATTTAAAATAAAACACTTGAATGGTACTGTAGGTCCTAGATCTGTTAAATAATTAAAAAGAAAAAATAAATAACATTTATTCAATTAAAAATCCTAGATCTTGGCATTATATTCATTAAATATCTGACTTGCATCAAGGTTGCCAAAATGATTGTTATTTATTGACTGTTTTTCTGTAGATGTGTGTAACTCTGGAGCCGTGAGGTGCAGTGATGCTGAGATCGAGAGGAAGAAGCAGCAGGCTGTGGAGAGGCGGAGACTCCGGATGCTGGCCAATCAGAACCTCAGAGCTCCTGTCTGAGTCACTGTTACTGTGGAGATGCACAGCAAAAACAGGTATACGTGTATATAAAGAGTAACAGTGTGTCTACACCACAACAATAACTATTCCCATTATAAACAACAAATCTTTGCGGTTTTATGGATTATAATGGGAGTGATCTATCATGCCGCTTGTTTGTGGACCAAAACTCTTTAGGAATAATGTTGTTGTTGTTATAAGGGTCATTCGTATCTGTACAACATTTGAATGCTCAAAAACCAAATGTTAATCTGAGGTCACATGCTTAGTATTATGCCTGTTTGGGCATCAGAGAGCCGATCCTAGATCAACGCTTGTTCTGATAAACATGTATGCTGACCTTCTCAACATATCCCCATTTGTCATTACAAAAAATCAGGAGTAGCTGCCTTTTTTCACCTCAGTCACGGTTATGCAGGTTTTATGTCAATTGTATAATAAATATTTTCCTTCAGTTTGTTTAAAAAGTGTAATGTTTACATTGCTTAAAGTAAATCACTCTTGTTCATTTTTTTTTTCTTCATTTATGATGATGTAGAAGAAATTTTACAAACATTGGTTGGTTGATTTTATTGTTTTTGTCCTTTTATGAGTCTAAAAGAAGAAGCCCAGAATATTAAAGTGACATAAAGTGAGTAATGTATAGTATTTATTGAGTTGGAATTGTCATTGTAATTAAGGCAATAATAAATAACTTTTAATAAAAATACTCTGGATTTTTCAATCTTTTCATCTAACTGAATTTTATCTAAGTTTCAAGCGTTATACAAGTCATATCAAGAGCTGCAGACTGATATGACCAGAATGACTCTTATAATGCATTTATTTTCAGGTTCCCACAGTTATGGAACGTTTATTGAGGTGTTTTCAGAAAATTTGTCATAAAAAGTGGAAAAGTTATGGATGCAATTAACATAAACTTGTATTTATCTTTTTGCTGGTTCTTCTTCTTTTAAACGTCCTTATATTGTTATTTGTGACCCTGGACCACAAAACCAGTCATAAGGGCCAATTTTTTGAAACATAAATAAGCTGTCCATTGATTTTTTTGTTTGTTTGTGTGTTAGGATAGGAGGACAATATTTGGCCGAGATAAAACTATTTGAAAATCTGGAATCTGAGGGTGCAAAAAAATTAAAATATTGAGAAAATCACCTTTAAAGTTGTCCAAATGAAGTTCTTAGCAATGCATATTACTAATCAAAAAGTAGGTAGGAAATTTACAAAATATCTTCATGGAACAAGATATTTACTTAATATCCTAATGATTTTTGGCATAAAAGAAAAATGGATAATTTTGACCCATACAATGTATTTTTGGCTATTGCTACAAATATACCCCTGCGACTTATGACTGGTTTTGTGCTCCAGGGTCACATTTGCATTTTCAGATTGACTGTCTGTCAAGCACATATTTAAAGGAATAGTTCACCCTAAAATAGAAAATCTGCTGACAGTTTACGCAGCCTCAGGCCATTCAAGATGTAGATGAGTTTGTTTCTTCATCAGAACAGATTTGGAGAAATGTAGCATTACATCACTCGCTCACCAGTGGATCCTCTGCAGTGAATGGGTGCCGTCAGAATGAGAGTCTAAACAGCTGATTTAAAAACAACAC